GGGTGGGGGAGGAGGACGGGCGCGCGCGCTCCCGCCCGCCTCCTCCTCAGTCCGCCCCCTCCCTCGCCTCTTCCTGCCGGGCGGTCCTCTCCCCTCCTCAGCCCGCTCCCTCCGCCCTCCCTAGGCTTCGGCGGCAGCGGAGTGAACGGGACCGGCCGGGCCGCAGAGCTCGGGGCGGCGGGTGGGACTCGGACGTCTGACAGAGTTGTTGTTCCGGCAGCGACCGCGGAGACGTGAGGTGAGGTGAAGGCGGCCTTCGAGGGGCCCGAGGGCGGCCTGACGGCAGGGAGGCGCGGGCCGGTGGGTCTGGGGCGTTCCGGGCTGGTGTAAAGAGGGTCCGGGTGCGAGGCCCGGCCCTGGACCGGGATGCTGGAGGACCAGGGCGGAAGGCATCCGGCGGACTCAGCGCCGTCGGCCGTCTCCCGGACACCCGGGTTCTCCGGGTGGCTGCTCGTCGCGGCGGGGCCGCTGGGCGGGAGGCGGGGTTGGCGCCCCTCACCTGGGGCGGAGTGGTGGCTTGGGCTCCCGCCACCTCCAACTGTGTGCCCTCCTGACATTGCCGCCGCCCCCGCCGCCCGCTGCCGGGATGTGGCCGCTGCGGGGTTCATAGTCCCAGCCGCCCGAGTTCGGGGGGGGGGGGGGGGGTGGACAGGGTTATTTTCTTTCCCACTTGAAAGCGTCTGTTGGATCCCGTGTCATTCCCTGGCTCTTCCCCCTTCCTCCGCCCCGCGCACTTTGCTCCGTTCCTGCTGGCGATGCTTGTGGTTTTGCTGTCTGGGGTAGACTGTTTTTTAGGCAGATCTCTACCTGCAAGAAATGCCCTGCTTCAAAGTTGACCGCGTGGGCCGTGACAGACACCCATCCACACCCCCGCGCTTGTTATGGGTGCTCCGTGTCTTGATAACTGAGTCCAAGTTTCTGAGACTGGGCTAGTACTTTGCTCTGATCGCCAACGGTGCAAGGCTGGGCAGTGCGTCAGCATGTGGAAAGGGGCCACTGGCCATCGCGGGAGGTGGCCAAGAGAAAGGGGGCTGAACTGACAAGAGTTCATTTCTGATTTCAAGACAGTTTTTGTCAGGTGCTGGTGTTTTCTCCTTTGACTTCTCAGAGTTAGTTATCAGAAAAAAACTCAAATTTAGGCGATTCTTGTTTTCAGAATTGATGACATTATGCAAATAAAGTGATCCGCTAACTTTTCATTGATGGCAAGGGCTTGCTTGACATGTTTATCGCTGTTTGAAAACTGATTCCAAAGCCTGCATTATTGTCATTGGGAGATTTAGATAATTTTAATGCATTTAAGTTTTCTCGTGTATGAGAAGAGGTAGGTAGTTGATTGTTACAATCCAGGAACACAATTTCATGGAAACCATAGGACTTTTCTAGTAGTGTTTACAGTTGACATGTGCTGCACTTCTGTAGAATATCCAGCAGTGATCAGAAGGTCCAGACATAAAGTTTGTGGTTAAATTGGAAGTGGGTTTTGCTCGTGGAAAATATTAGTTCACAAGCTCCTAGGAAATGGAAATTGGCCTGTGATTAATTATCTTGGTTGAGTGCTCTATATGAAACTGACACTGAGGTGGTAAAGAAGAAAGGCTAGATGAGTTTTATGTATACATTATTACAAAATTGTACTGCTTGGGAAGCTAGCTAAGGCTTTGAGTTAGATTGATGCCCGTACTAAATGAGTTCAAGATGTACTCCAATACCACTAAATAATCTAGAGGAGAAATAGATGTGGTTGTGCATGGCTTACCTGTGAGATATTATAAAGCTTAATTTGTGCTCTGGTAAACTGCAAACGAGGCAAATAGTAAACATGCAAACGAAGTGCAAAAGATATGACTGGAGAGCTAACAAGTTTCCTACTTTCTTTCCTTCTCTTTTTAAACATTTGATGAAAAATTTTGTATATTATGTTTGTGCTGTTCTGAGAATTTTTGGTTGTTTGATCATTGCCTCATGATTTATACCATTTTTTATTACTTGAGAGGTTATGTTGTTTTGTTGGGGTATTAATTTATTATTTTTTAAAAGATTTATTTAATTTTATGCCTGTGAGTGTTTTGTTTCCACACACACTTTTTGTTTTCCAACACAGTTTTTGTTTATGCACCACTGTGCCTGGTGCCAGAGGAGGCCAGAAGAGGGTGTCAGGTCCTCCTGGAACTGGAGTTACAGACAGTTGTTACCAGAGAAGACCAGAAGAGGGCGTCAGATTCCCTGGAACTGGAGTTACAAACAGCACCTTGTGGGTCCTAGAATTGAAGTCAGGTACTCTGGAGGAGCAGCTAGTGCTCTTAAACTGCTGAACTGTCTCTACAACCTTATTTACTTATTTTTTTTGAGACAAAGAGTCTTATATCGTGGCTTTGACTGGCCTGAAATTTACTATGTAGCCCACACTGACATTAATCTTAACCTCCTAAGTGTTGGGTTTATGGATATGGACTACCAAGCCCAACAGTATTTATCTTTGACTCACAAAATTTTATTAAGCATGAGAAACAAGAGTTTTCATTTCTATCAACTCATCAGTTCCAAATTTGTTACTTCTGAAAACTCTTCTTTCCTTTACCCGAAACTTGAAATGATTTTATTGCTGTGTATTTATTTGAACTCTGAGATACTGCAGTGAAGCTGAAAGTCCTAGGTCTGGGGGAGTAGTGAAAAGAGGAAATTTTGTTGTTCTAAGTACAATTTTTATGTGGGAGAGATTAACAGCCTTCTGGATACTGCCTTTGAAGAGAGGAGCACTTAAATATCAAAAAATCTCTTGTACTGGAGGTGTAGAACTGGGGCTTCAGCCTACCATTGTTTTTGAAAATTCTTTTGATATCTATCTACCTACATACCTACTCACCTATCTCTGTATCTATGTATCTATCTATTTGTATGAGTGCTTTGCCTGCTTTTATGTACACCATCTCTCTCTCTCTCTCTCTCTCTGTGTGTGTGTGTGTGTGTGTGTGTGTACCTGGTGCCCCTGGAGGTAAGAAGAGGACATCACATCCCCTGTATCTGGAGTTAAAGATAGTTGTGAACTACCTTGTAGGTGGTGCTGGGACCTTTACAAGAGCAACATGTGCTTTTAACTGTTGAGCCAACTCTCTAGCCCTCAGCCACCAATCTTTAAGTGGTATGGAGAGGAGGATGTGAGGAGATTGAAGTCAATAATGTTGTAAGTAGCCTTTGGAAGTCCCAAAACAGAGAGCCCCTCCCCTTATGTCTTAAATTTCAATCCGTTCTTGCATGTTTATAACATCTTTTAAACATTATTTTAAACTTTATTATAAAATGCATTGCCAAAACTGAAACAAAACAAAACAACAACAACAAAAATCATTGAGATTAATCAGACCCAAAGTAAAACTTCTCATCTCATATAAATGATTCAGCCCTGGAGTTTGAGGATGATTGTTAGCCAAAGACTGACAATCTTATTTATTTCTTTTTCCTAGTTGTTTTTGAGACAGGCTCTTGCTGTGTAACCCATCCTGGGCTCCAGTTTACTATGTAACCTAGTCTACCTTTGAACTTGTGATCCTCTTTGATTCTTGAATCCAGGGATTTTACCACTATGCCTGGCCAACCCAGGGATTTCTCCATTAATAGTTTTATGGTCATTTGCTACGAAAAATGGAAACAGAAAAAAAAACAGAGTTGAACCTGAGTAATGAAGACATGTACACTAAAATTTTATTTTAAAAAATTTATATGTATGAGTATTTTGCTCACATGTCTGTCTGTGCACCACATGTGTGCCTGGTGCCCTTGAAATTCAGAAGGGGATGTTGGATTCTTTAAATTGGAGTTGTGGACGGTTGTGAGCTACCACATGGGTCCTGGCAGTCACACCTGGGTCCTCTGCAAGGCCAAGTGCTCTTAACCGCTAAGCCATCTCTCCAGCCTGATATACTCATTTTTTTTTTTTTGACTTGCCTGCTGTCTTTTCCGAGTAGGCAGTAGTTTTGACTTTATAGTTAATATTTGAATTGGGTATAGGTATGCAGACATTATTGGACTCTAGGAAGTAACAGTTAATGAAGTTAAGCAGACTTATGTCTCAAAACTTTCTATTTTGTTTTTTTTTTAACTTTTCATATTGCTCTTATTCAGCCAACAAAATGTCACAGTTGTTTGAATATGGCAAGTTCATACTCACGCTGACTCATTTTTGGTTATCTTTGGCCTTTTTAAAAAAAATATAATTTTGGGGGATTTTGCTAGGAAACCTGTAGGAATATTTTTAGTTGATTTAGAGTTAGATTGGGCTAAGATTATTAGTGTGCTTAAAATTTTGAGCCTTCTTGTTTTATAAATAGTCTTAAAAATAGAAAACACACTTTTATAAATACTCATGAAAAATCTGACTATAGGCAGTTTTGTTGTGATAGACATAGTACAGCCAGAAATACATTTAGGAAACTTCTTTGCTCCTTATCCAGTTTAGTATGCCTAAGTAAAAAGTTAGAAAAGTATTTCAACAAAACTTGCTTTTTTCAGAGTATGAAGACTAAACAATAATTTGTAAATTTTATTTCACTTGCCTGTTATAAGCTCAGCAAGTTCTATATGTCTTTAAGAGTAAAGTAAAATCCTAATTTAAATAGAGGATTCTTACTTAGTAATAGAAGTCCTGTTGGAAGATGCAAGCTTGTGTTGAGAATTTGAGGAAAATTAGTTGTAGTGACTGCTTGCCTCCTCACTACAATTAGTAATAGAAAATTTGCTTTTTTTTCTGCACTGATTTTTCTGTGTAGGCTTGTCAAGTGGATGGAGGCATTGACACGAATACCAGAATCCATGTGAGATTTTTGCTTTTCATAATATAGAATACTTGGAATTTATTGGTATTAGTAGTACCGTGTAATGTATTGTGTCCATCAGGCATATGGATCTGAACAAAGGTAGAGAATCTTGACCTTAGCTGATACTTTCTAAACCACATGCCTACTTCCTATAACTTACTTGACTTACAATGATATCAACAGGTATCTGTTACTTTTGTTTTTGAAGAGAGCTATGAATTGTGATGAAGAGACCATGTAACTAAGAATAAAATTTATTGATTTGTATACATGAAGGATACTGGAGATTGCTGTGCTGAGCATTTATTAAACTGTTTTCACTATACTCCACAGGGTGAAATATTGAATTTCATACTTGTGTGCTCACACACAGACATAGACACAGACACAGACACACACACACACACACACACACACACACACTTGAAAGAACAGTGTGGTAAAACTCCTTTTAACTTTCAGGGCTGTATTGATTGGCTACGGAACTTGGAACAGAAATTGTACATACCTCTTTCTACCTAGCTTTGTGTGTAGTGATATTGTCATAGTCTTGCTTGACTAGTCATAGTGGTATTATTTATATCAGGGACCACCAACAACTAGTATAATTTAGACTCCCTTCTGTAGCTAGTTGTTAAATGTAAAACACATTACTGGCTTTAAAACATTTAAAATATTCTTTTCATGTCACTTATGAGAAGATGCTAGGATTTAACTTTCTAATTAATTTTACACTCTAGTAAGGATGACCAGCCTCATTTAATATAAGTAGCACTTCCACAAGCACCCAAAAACAAATGAACAAATGGATGGGCAGATATACATACAAACTAGTTTAGCATACTTTTCTAACCTGCAGATGAACATACAAAACCTAACACCCAAGATCATATGGGTGTTTATTGACAAAGTCAGGGTTCTGGATTAGATTTCAGTATCTATGTTTTTGCCTGCCTCAAAGAGACAGACTTTCACATAGCCTAAAATTACCCCTGATCCCCTTTGAGATGATCTTGAACTCCCTGTCTTCCTATTTCTACCTCGCAAGTGTGAAGATTTTAGACATGTGTCAGCTAGTGGGCTCTGTCCTTTCCTAACCCAAGCTATTCATTTAATTCAGCTCCAGGACTCTGTTAAGCAGTACGCAGTTTGAATAGAGATGAATAAGGCATGGTCCTTGACCTTGAAGTCTTCATGCTTATGT